TATCCGCAACTCCTCTTATACCACTGAATGAAATTTAATGAGACTTTCACAGAATCATTGTTACATAGTGCCATTGTGCACCTCCTATTTTACTTTTTGATCTGACACTTATTTCGGGTCTCCCAGGGCAAAACATGGACTTTGCCATTATAATCATATGGGAGGCAGGGGGTATCATTTAGTGAGCTCAGTGCTCACAGTACCTCTAGTTTCATTTATGCATGGTTAGTATGAAAGTGTTAATTGGCTGTGGCCACTTCTAACTTTGGGAGAATAACTCAAAAAAATGTCATTTTTGGCATTTTTAAGAAACCATCGCATGTTCCAACTACCACACGAGCTAAATAGTGCAGTGTTAACAAAATGTTTATACATAGGAAAATGTTTGCTGTTGTTCGCTAACATTTAATAAAATGTTCAGTACCACTCTTGATCGAAACTTGAATTTTGTGTAAAACATGAGGCAAAATATGATGGTTAATGGCCTTACTTCTTTGGACAACCCAACATGATGGCACATTACAATAGTGAATTTTATTTTAAATGCATTATAATAAAATGCTCAGGATCTTATAATTTATCTTAGACAAATTGGGACTTACATCAATTAAATTTGGCATGGTCCATCTGATTCTGCAAAGCAACAGTTTACTGGTCTACTGTTAATTCTTTGACTGACTAAGAGCTACAGACTTCTCCTACAGTTATAGTCTGATTTTGATCAGACTTGCAGCAACATATATTAAATTCTGCTGTCTTTTTTCGATACCTGTATTCCTTAGATAATAAATGTTGAGTCGTCCCAACACTCAGATGTCATATGTCGGGTCATAATGTGTGACATTATTTCTCAAACTCTTTTTTATTATAAATCTATGATATTTCAAGTTATTATTTCTGTATTTCAGGATTAAAGTAGTATTATGTAATTATAACATGAAATATCATGTAATTATAACATGAAATATCATGTAATTAGAACATGAAATATCATGTAATTAGAACATGAAATATGTAATTATAACATGAAATATCATGTAATTAGAACATGAAATATCATGTAATTAGAACATGAAATATCATGTAATTAGAACATGAAATATCATGTAATCAGAACATGAAATATCATGAAATTATAACATGAAATATCATGTAATTATAACATGAAATATCATGTAATTATAACATGAAATGTTCATAAGTGAATGTTCATTGTACAATTAAAGTGTGTATTTGGGCTGAGGGTGGGGTGGGTTGGTGGTAATATATCCTTTCTTCTAATTCCATACATTTGTGGCATTAAATGTTATTTGTCATAATGTGGATGTCATTCATTCTTCTCTTTATTTTTGGATCCGTTTCCCCATGAAATTGATATTTACAGACGCGTGTTTAATGCCACAGTGATAAACAACAGCTCTTTCTATGTGGTGTTGCCATTCTATGACTGATGTGTATTCCTTAAGAAAAAAACATGTATTACATAAAAAAAAATCCTTGTGATCTAAAGAATACAGCTTATCTTGACAATCGGTTCATTTTTATAAACAGCCACTAAAATTATCTTTCCTATATTTAAAAGTTAATTCATGATGGTACACAAGTACACCACACAAACTTTTTTTTCTGGAAATCAGTTGTCAAGGAAAGGTGTTGCCATAGATACTGAAGGAAGATGTGTAAAATTCTTTCAAAAATTTAAATACTACTATACTCCAACAGTTCATATTTGATACTCAAATATCTAGTTATATGTTTACAAAATATGAATTCTCATCATTCTGCCAGACTAGTGTAAAACAAAAAAAATATAGATTGAAGTTCAGGTGCAACTTTTTCTTGTAACAATTTAAGTACAAACTAGTAGAGGTACATTCTCATCAGATGCACCTGCCTGTTTTTAGCTCTACTGGTCAGAGACCAGAAGAGCTTATGCGATAGTAAGATGTCTGTCCGTCTGTCTGTCTGTCCGTCCATCAGTAAACAATTTTTCAAAACGCTACTCCTCCTACAGTTTTGGTCATATTTCATTATAACTTGGCACATAAATAGACTACATTAAGATACATAATTCTGTGTATCGGTTTTTGATTTTAATGAACGGTTTTGCTATGTTTACTAAAAATAGAGATTTCTGGGAAATACTTTCAAAACGCTACTCCTCCTACAGTTTTGGTCTGATATCAATATAACTTGGCACTCAAGTAGACTATACTAAGATACATAATTCTGTGTATCGGTTTTTGATTTCAATGAACGGTTTTGCAATGGTTACTAAAAATAGAAATTTCTGTGAAAAACTTTCCAAACGCTACTCCTCCCACAGTTTTGATCTGATTTCAATATAACTTGGCACACAAGTAGACTATAATAAGATACATAATTCTACTCATCGGTTTTTGATTTCAATGAACGGTGTTGCCATGGTTACTAAAAATTAGGGCTGTCATGAGTACCCGAAATAACCGAGAACCGCGGTCCAAGTTGTTCGGTTCGGTTCCATTTTTCCGGATTTCGGTTCGGGTCTGGTTTATATATTTGAGTCTGTTCAATACAAAAAATGGCGTTGAAATCAAAGGAATGATGACGATAACAGTGATAAATAAACATCACAACTGAAATCTACTTCATTCCTTGACAAACACTTGTCACAGAAGTATTAGATAATTATCAAAACGAGCAGGAATGGTCAGGTTGTGGCTAATAGTAGGCCAAGTCACCGATGTCTAGACGTTCGCATGGTTAAGACTTGTTTTCAATGTAAATTTAATGCAACAAAATAAAGATTTTTCAGGTTAAATTCATGAAATTAAGGTTTAAAATAGATGTAAATACCCGACCCGAAAAACCCGAAACCGAACCGAAAATTTACAGAACCGACCCGACCCGAAAAATTTTTGGATCCGTGACAGCCCTACTAAAAATAGAAATTTCTGTGAAATACTTTCAAAACGCTATTCCTCCTACAGTTTTGGTCCAATTTCAATATAACTTGGCACACAAGTAGACTACACTAAGATACATAATTTTGATTATCGGCTTTTGATTTCAATGAACAGTGTTGTCATGGTTACTAAAAATAGATATTTCTTGGAAATACTTTCAAAACACTACTCCTCCTACAGTTTTGATCTTATTTCAATGTAACTTGGCACACAAATAGACTACACTAAGATTACATAATTCTTTTTATCAGTTTTTGATTTCGATGAAGGTGTTGCCATGGTTACAAAAAATAGAAATTTCCTTGAAATACTTTCAAAATGCTACTCCTCCTACAGTTTTGGTCAGATTTCAGTAGAGATACATAATTCTCTGTACCAGTTTTGGGTTTCGATGAACAATGTTGCCATGGTTACTAAAAATAGATTTTTTTAAAAATTACTTTCAAAACGCTACTCCTCCTACACTTTTTGTCTGATTCAGTATAACTTGGCATACAAGTAGACTACACTGAGATACATAATTGTCGTTATTATTTTTTTGATTTTGTTGAATGATGTTGCCATGGTTACTGAAATCGAAATTTCTGTAAATTGTTTTAAAGGGCTACTCCTCCTACAGTTTTAGTCTGATTGCAATAAATCTTGCCACAAAAAGAGACTAAACCAAGGATAATTATTAGGACCCCACAAGCATTTGCGGGTGCCCTATAGTAATCACTCTGTCTGTCTGTCTGTCCATCTGTCTGTCTGTCCGTCTGTCATTCTTCCGTCCACAAATTTTCTGTTTTTTCTAATAACTTTTTTTATAGTTGACCAATTAAGTTCAAATTTGGTATGTTGGTTGAATAGGTAGTAAGACATATTTTGATGCTAAGTTTGGTTCTCTGTGTCATCCAGTTTGGAGCTGGGGGGGGGGGGGGAGGGTAGATTCCTTAACTTTACATTAGAATGAATGCCAGGGCAAAGAGAGATAACTGCTGAGAATGTTCCTATTGTAAACTATGAAAGCTGCAACTTGTCCAATGGGATTAATTAACTTTCCCCTTGAAGAAAATCTAAAGCATTATCTGTTTCTATCAAATTGAGATTAATTAACACCTCTTTCTGCAAATGAAGTTTGTTTTGAAGTTAAGGTTAATTCTGAATGAAGTTTACATTCTCTGAAATGTGGATATAAATAATGTTCATACTTTATTTTGGTAAAATACACAATGAGTTGTGATTTTATTGAATTCTAAAAACAAGATATACATAAAGATATCTTTTTTATTTCTTTATTTTTTTTTTTTTTTATTTATTTATTTATTTAATTTAATTTATTTATTAATTTTTTTTTGCTGCTGTATGTAAATTCAAGAATACTATTAATTTTGAAAGGTAGTCCAATAATGACCTCATTCTATCATTATTGAAAAAGTTCTTATTGTAAACTTAGAAGAAAAGGATGAGAGAAGGTACAATTAATCCCCTGGGATTAATTATCTTGCCTGGTGCAGAAAATTTTCAAGGCTTATCTTTATTTGTCACTTTAAGATAAATTAACACCTTTGTCTGCAACTGATGTTTGTTTTGAAGTTAAGGTCAAGCCTGGGTGATATTTGCATTCACTGAAGGCTGGCATTTTATAAAACACATGCTTTATTCTTGTTTGAATATACATTTAATTGAGTTATTATAGATATGATGTTTTTTACTGCCTTATGTAAATACAGGGATACTTTTAACAGGTTGTTGGATATTTAGGAATTATCTTGAAATTTTATAAATACAGTTGTTGTTGCATATTCTTCTTCATATATTTTTAAATTTTTGTAATCAATTAAAATTCTCATTCTGTAAGCTGCACCCTCATATTTCTACCCCTCAGTGGGGCCCTTGCTGACTGGTCAGTTTTCTAGTTCTATTTATTGCTGTTGCAAAGTTTCAAGACCAAGTGCTACTTTTATCTTCCTTTATAAGTACAACCAGTAGAGCTACAGTCTCATCAGAGACTTCTGGTTTCCTTATTATAATGCTTTATTTGTTCTTTTAGACATCCTTTTTTTTCTCTTTTAGACTACTTGAAGTTTTGGATTACCTCAATCAAGACATTTGGAGGCAAAAAGGCACCACTGTTTCTTGTTGCCACACACACGGAAACAAAATCTACAGATGTAAGTATTCAGGCTTATAGAAATGTGAATTAGAGAGGAATAAGCAGACCTATTTTTGTATTCATATGAAGCAGAATTTATTCAAAATCTTATACATGAGAAAAAGAAATATCTTGCTGTGGCCTTCAGCTCGACATTTAGATATATTGACGACGTAATATACGTCAGACAGAGTCTGATACATCTGTTTCATATCTGGATATTTTACTAGAAAAAGACGTTAATGGTAATCTAACAATAAAGCTTTATGATAAACGTGATGTCTTTAACTTTTCAACCGTCATCTTCTAGGGCTGTCACAGATCCAAAATTTTTCGGGTCGGGTCGGTTCTTTAAATTTTCGGTTCGGTTTCGGGTTTTTCGGGTCGGGTATTTACATCTATTTTAAACCTTAATTTCATGAATTTAACCTGAAAAATCTTTATTTGTTACATTAAATTTACATTGAAAACAAGTCTTAACCATGCGAACGTCTAGACATCGGTGACTTGGCCTACTATTAGCCACAACCTGACCATTCCTGCTCGTTTTGATAATTATCTAATACTTCCGTGACAAGTGTTTGTCAAGGAATGAAGTAGATTTCAGTTATGATGTTTATTTATCACTGTTATCGTCATCATTCCTTTGATTTCAACGCCATTTTTTGTATTGAACAGACTCAAATATATAAACCAGACCCGAACCGAAATCCGGAAAAATGGAACCGGAACCGAACCAAACAACTTGGACCGCGGTTCTCGGTTATTTCGGGTACTCGTGACAGCCCTATCATCTTCCCTTACTTATGCAGGAATATACTCTGATCACCTGAGTATGGGTTGTATATCTCTCAGTTGATTTGATACGCAAGAGCATGCTCTATGTAAGAACAATTTCTAAAACGAGGTAAGTTATTGACAAACAAGTTGATGAAACAAGAACATTAACAGTCTCGTTTAAAGTCATCATTTTGTAAGTTCTATGGTCCATACAATGATCTTGTCAGCAAATACTATCTATCATTAAGTCATATGCTGACTGACGTTTTTCATACTAATTGTTAGGCTATTATTTACACACTGAATTGTCAACGGATTTTCTGTTATTTACTGATCCTGACAAGGAGCACATGGTGGGTGTGACCGGTCGGCAGGGGATGCTCACTCCTCCATGGCACCTGATCCCACCTCTGCTTTTAGAGGTCCGTGTTTGCTCTGCTCCCAATTTGTATTGTTTTAATGGACTTTGAGCTTGAATACTAGTACTGTTCGTTATCTCCATATTTCATCTCCAACATATCTTGGGAATGCACAAATACAGCTATTCTTCAGAATCCGGTTGCACGAACGTTAGTTAAATTTAACTGGCCGTTAACTTTGCGTTAACCCGACGTTTAATTTAACGGCGAGTTAAACTGGTTGCACAAAAGTTAACTACCAGTTAAAGCCTAATTAATTTTCTGATTTAACTAACAGATTTAACTGAGGTTAACTAGGTACATTGAATATTTAATTAAACATTTAAATCAAAATCGCAGATTTGTTATGATTTCAAAACTTGTTTGCAGGGAAGGAAGAACTTGTACAGAGATAATAGAAATGTCTGACTTGAGCAACATGCAAATTCAATCCCGATTTTGATTTAGGCAAGATTGTATTATACATGTATAAATTGCGGATAAATATTGCGACATTGTCTGCAAAGAACAACAAGACGAAATCATTCCATATGAGTGGAGATGTAGGTACTTTTTTCATCCAATTATGCATACAGTAAATGTCATTATATTTTATCAAAACGATGATCGTTTTAAAAAAAAATAACCTCAGACAAGTTACTGAAAAGTAGGTTAATCGTTCAATTCCACAAACTTCAGGCACATAAAACGACGAGGTGGGTGTTCCTCTCCCATTTTTTGAGAGATTTTTAGCTCTACTGGTCAAATACCAGAAGAGCTTATGCGATAGTAAGTTGTCCGTCATCCGTCCGTCCGTCTGTCTTTCTGTCTGTAAACAATTTTTCAAAATGCTACTCCTCCTACAGTTTTGGTCTGATTTCAATATAAATTGGCAAACAATTTATATTACTACACTAAGATACATAATTCTGTTTATCGGTCTTTGATTTCAGTGAACGAAGTTGCCATGGTTACTGAAAATAGAAATTTCTGTGAAATACCTTCAAAATGCTACTCCTCCTACAGTTTTGGTCTGATTTCAATATAACTTATCACACAAGTAGACTACACAAAGATACATATTTCTGTTATTGGTTTTTGATTTAGGTTAATGGTGTTGCCATGGTTACTAAAAATAAAAATTTCTGTGAAATACTTTAAAAATGCTACTTCTACAATTTTGTTCTGATTTCAATATAAATTGACACATAAGTAGACTACACAAAGATACATAATTCTGTATATCGGTTTTCGATTTCGATGAATGGTGTTGCCATGGTTTCTAAAATTAGAAATTTCTGTGAAATACATTCAAAATGCTACTCCTCCTACAGTTTTGGTTTGATTTCAATATTACTTGGCAAACAAGTAGACTACACTAAGATACATAATTCTGTATATCAGTTTTTGATTTCGATGAATTGCCATGGTTACTAAAAATAGAAATATTTGTGAAATACTTTCAAAACTCTTCTCCTCCTACAGTTTTGGTCAGATTTCAATATAACTTGGCACACAAGTAGATTACACTGAGGTACATAATTCTGTATATCCATTTTTTGATTTTGGTCAAGTGTTGCCATGGTTACAAAAAAGCTGAAATTTCTTTGACATACTTTCAAAACATTACTTGTCACCCGCATGGCACAGTGGTAGAATGTTTGCTCTAGAGTCGCAAAGTAAGGAGTTGATCCTTACGTTGCGGGTTCGAATCCCACTGTGGGACATGAAACCGGTCCTTCGGATGAGATTGTTTAAACCAAGGTCCTATGTCGCAGTAGGTGCTCGCACGAAAAAAATCTCTTACTACTCAATGGCCCTGAGTGCCGAGCATAGGTCAAAATTTGCAGCTTTCCACCGGCAAGTGGTGGCATCTCCATATGAGTGAAAAATTCTTGAGAGGGACGTTAAACAACAAACAAAATATTACTTTGCCTACAGTTTGGTCTGATTTTAATATAACATGGCATGCAAGTAGACTACACTGAGATACATAATCGTCTTTATTTTTTTTTTATTTTGATGAATGATGTTGCCATGGTAACTAGAATCAAAATTTCTCAAAAATTCTTTTAAAAGGCTAGTCTTTCTACAGTTTTAGTCTGATTGCAATTCATCTTGCAACAAAAAGAGAGTAATTGCAACAAAAAGAGAGTAAAACAAGGATTATTATTTATTTATTGCTGTTACAAAGTTTCAAGTCCAAATGCTACTTTTCTCTTCCTTTGTTATAAGTACAAACCAGTAGAGCTACAGTCTCGACAGAGACTTCTGGTTTTAAATTATTTTCAATTTCCCCTCCCAAAAATCAATGCCTCGTGCTAGAACTTAATACAGAAAACTCCATGTATATACTTTGTTATTGCATTGTTTATACTATTTGACTATTTTTCAATGTAAAAAGTCATATTTGAAGTAACTATCTTTTATAATATATTTAATATATTTTACCAATATAAGATTAATATTGAAAGTAAATAACCTTAGCAAATTAACATTTATGAATTGACGTCATTTTAATTATGACGTCAGAAATATTTCACCATAGGTAAGGGAAATGCGCATGTAGAACGATTTGAACAGAGAGTTAACTATAAGACATCAATTAAATGTGAGTTAGCTAATTTATTTTTAATAGACATTTGAACAACAAATTTTTAACCGACAGTTACATAACTTGTCGTTAAAAATTTAACAGCTAGTTACGACACTAACTGGAAGTTAAATTTAACTAATGTTTGTGCAATCAAGACATTTGGTGGCAAAGAGACGCCATTGTTTCTTGTTGCCTCACACACAGAAACAAAATCTACAGATGTAAGTATTCAAGCTTATAGAAATGTCAATTAGAAAAGAGTAAACCGATCCCCAACATATCTTGAGAATGCACAAGTACAGCTATACTTCAGGAATACAAAAGAAAAGATTTTTAGCCTGTAAGGGTGCAAGATTGGTTATAGTCTTTACAAAATGAATTGGTTTCTATTTATGTTGATGACTATAGACAAATGCATGTAATAATTCATTTCTCTTATATTGACAGCTCACCTGAGCTGAAAGCTCAAGTGAGCTTTTTAGATCACCCAATGTCCTGCGTCCGTACATCCATCTGTCTGTCTGTCCCTTTGTAAAATTTTCACAGTTTCAACTTCTACTTAAGTACCACTTGGCCAATATTAACCTCATTGGCAAGAGGCATCCTTTGGTAAAGCAATTTTAATTTATTTTTTTTAAAAATGTCCAAGCTTACTTCAAGGGGAGATAATCAAAGTAAAACTAGTGTGGTATCATTGAAATGATTAATTTCTTCACAAAAACCACTGTGCCAGAGAAAATGAAACTTGTTTGAAAGCTTCCTGAGGTAGTGTATAGATTCTAAATTGTTTAAAGTTTGGCCCCTAGGGGGAAAAAGTGGGGTAGGGCCACAATAGGAAAATAAAGCTTTTCATAGGAATATATATAGGAAAACATCAAAAAAAATCTTCTCAAGAACCACTGGACCAGAAAAGATGTTACTTATGTGAAAGATTCCTTGGTTTGTGTAGATTCTAAATTTCTCAAATAATGGCTCCTAGGGGTAGGGTATAGCCACCATAGGAGAACAATGTTTTACATTGAAATATATAGAAAAACTTGTTAAAAATCTTCTTTTCTTAAACCACTGGATCAGAAAAGATGAAACTTACGAGAAATCGTCATGAGGTAGTGTAGATTCTAATTATTTAAAGAATGGTCCCCGTGGTAGGTTGTGGCCACAATAGGCGATCAAAGTTTTACATTGAAATATAAAGGGGAAAATATTTAATAAAATATGGAGATAACGAACAGTATTCAAGCTCAAAGTCCATTTAAACAAACAAATCAGGAGCAGAGCAAACACGGACCTCCAAAAACATCAGAGGTGGGATCAGGTGCCATGGAGGAGTAAACATTACCTGTTGACCGGTCACACCCACTGTGTGTCATTTGTAAATGTCAAAGCCTGAATTTTTTGTTAAACTTTTTTCCACTTGGAGTTTCACAGATGAGAATTTTTACAATAAATGCTGGGGTTAAGTGGGCAAAGTCAAAAGTATCTCTAGCTAGCATGCTGGAGTAGCAATCTGATTAAAATCAGCTGTTCTGATATGCTACCACTGAACAGCTGAATTTAATTAGATTGTATTTATAATAGCAATCCATTGCAGCTCCTTGCATTCCTGTATAGAGTAACACAGAGTAAATGATTCTTGTCTTTACAAAGATATAGTTCCAGTTAATTTTTATTGTAACATAGAGGATTAATGATGAGCATTCCATATGAAGACATAACATGCCTTTAAGATAACTAAATTAAGTAAAATACACGAGCTTTGATAAAAAAAAAAACTAAGATAGTGTTTAAAAAGGCAAGAATTTGAAAATGTAAAACAGTAAATATGTAGTACCAGGTGGATTCAAACCATGACTGTAAAAAGTAACATAATTAATGAGGGTGAGCTGTCTTACCAGGTGAGCTATACTAACTGTGCAAAATGGTGATATAAATAATAATTAGCTAGGTTGTCAAAATAGGTTTTCTTAATTTTTGAGTGCTTTATTATGAATTTTGATTCATTCAAATAAATGTAAAGTTTTTAGCTCACCTGAGCCGAAGGCTCGAGTGAGCTTTTCTGATCAAAGAGTGTTCGGTGTCCGTCTGTCATCTGTAAACTTTTTGCATTTTCGACTTCTTCTCAAGAACCACTGGGCCAATTTCAACCACATTTTGCCACAAAACATCCTTGGGAGAAGGGCATTAAAGTTTGTTCACAGGAAGTGCCATGCCCTCTTTCAAGGGGAAATAATTAAGAATTTGTGAAAATTTGGTGGCTTTTTAAATGATCTTTTTAAAATCATCTTCTCAAGAACCACTGGGCAAGAAAATATGAAACTTATGTGAAAGCTCCATTACATACTCTATATTCAAGTTTATATCATAATTCCTGGGGGTAGGGCGGAGACACAAGAGGGGGTCGAAGTTTTACATAGGAATATATAGGAAATGTCTTTAAAAATCTTCTTCTTGAGAACAGCAAAGCCATGATTACTCATATTATAATAGAAGTATCCTCAGGTAGTGTAGATTCAAGTTTGTTCCAATCATGACCCCTTGGGGTAGGGCAGGGCCACAACAGGGGGTCAAAGTTTACCATAGGAATATATAGGAAATATCTTTAAAACTCTTCTTCTCAAGAATAGCTAAGCTATTAATAGTCATATTTATAATGAAGTATCCTCAGGTAGTGTAGATTCAAGTTTGTACAAATCATGATCCCGGGGGTAGGGCGAGGCCAAACAGTGGGTCAAAGTTTTACATAGGAATATATAGGTGTAATGGTTAATGTGCATTCGAGTAAAATGCATTGAAGACTTCAAATAGTGGAATGACCTGACAACCCTTGGAATGGACTAGCCAAACCAAAGGGTATATAAGGTAAAGCTTTGGGAAAATCAGGCATTCAGAAGCTAGCTGAAGAAGTTGGACGTAGAATCAGCAATAAAGAAGTTATGGGTAAGAGTAAAATAAATGTATAAAAGTTATAAACACCAGTGGCAAGTATCCTAGGGAATTTATGTTATGTTCTGGTTGTAGTAAATCTGAAGGAGATCAAGACACCAAGTTCTTATCTATCAATGGGAATCTAGGGGAGAAACACAGTGCAAGTAGTACCTTACCCAGTCCCGTCTCTAGATAAGAGAAAATTTAAGTACTGTGTGATTTACCCTCAGACAGAGCTGTCTAAATAATCATTCCAATCATGAACTCAGACAGATTAAAAGGAAAACCTATATATCCCTTGTAAGAACCTGATCATACACATTACATAGGAAATATCTTTAAAATCTTCTTCTCAAGACTTAAGCCATTATTAGTCATATTTATACAAAAGCAATCTCAGGTATTGTTGAATCAAGTTTGTTCAATTTATGACCCCCCAGGGGTTGGGAGGCACAACAAAGGGTCAGAGTTTTGCATAAGGCTATATATAGGAATCATCTTGAAAAAAATTTCTGCTGAAGAACAGCAAAGCCATGATTAGTCATATTATTATAGAAGTATCCTCAGGTAGTGTAGATTCAAATTTGTTCAAATTTAGGGTGGGTAGGGTGGGGCCACAATGAGCAATCAGAGTTTTACATAGGAAAAAAATCTTTAAAATTCTTCTGTTTAAGAACAGCAAAGCCATGATTAGTAAATAATATTGATATGGAAGCATCCGGAGGTAGTTTAAATTAAAATTTACTCCCCCCCCCTCCCCCCTTCAATACTGAACTGATTTCTGCTTCTTCCTAACCAATGTGCTCAGGTGAGCAATGTGGCCCATGGGCCTTTTGTTAAAAGATTTCAATATTAGAACACCTTGTCGACACAGAACCTGCAAGAGTTATTAAAAATCTTTCAATTCAGAGATACTACATTTTTACTGCTTTACATCCAATGTGCCACTGTAATTCTACAGTGGATACCAGATCTACAGTTTTAACTGTAATCAATTCAAACTATGTACCAATTTTAATACTGAAATACATGTATCTCCAGATTTTCAAACCTCAACACATAATCTAGCATCACAGTAAATCATAGCACACAATTGTGTATTAATTTTTCTTACCTGCTTTATTTACTTCTTCAGGAAATAGAGAAGTATTTTGGTGAGTTCTGGAATGCTGTACCAGATGAGGACAGAGACTGGTTAAGTGAGTCTCTGAATGATCGGGAATATGCAGTGGGTCTAAAGGAACTTAATGATAATTCCAAGAAAATGCTGGAGTCAATGAAAAAGTCCATAGTCGAACTATTTACACATGAGACCAATACAATAATTGAATTGCCTTCTTCATGGGCCGTTATGGAACAGTTATTGTATGAAGGAGCCTGGAGGATTTTGTCCCTGAGTGAAATTTTGAGGCTCAACTCATCCCTTCCCGATGAATACCAAATTAAAAGTGAGGAGGAAATGTCTAAATTTTTAAAATGTTTCCATGACAATGGCCTTGTTTTGTATTTTAAAGAAGAGAAATTGAGGGAACATGCCATACTAGACATTCAGTGGTTTGCTAATGCTTTTAGCAAGATAATTGCTGATGAAAACCACATCAGTAAAGATTGTAGAAGGAAATTAAGTAAAGAGTGGAAATCCTTCAACAAAACAGGGGAACTTAAAGATAAAGTGATAGATGCTTTGTGGAAAAATGAACCCTCTTACTTGAAACATAAAAGTGAAATTATGTCATACATGGAGAAACTTCAAATGCTGGTTCCTTTGAATGCTTTGGGGGCTGTATCAGAAGGTGGCATGTCGTGGTATGTCCCATGTATGAACAAAAAGCAGTTTAAAGCTGACTTTTTTGAAGATAAATGGGAATGCTCCTCCATTTTGTGCTTCCGATTCACTTCCTTTGCCATGTTTGTGTTCTACAGACTTGTAGCATATTGCATAAGTTTTCTAAGATGGAGTGTTGCAATAGATGAAGACAATGAAGGAAGTCCATGTCTTTATCAAACAGCGGCAGTGTTTGATCATAATGAACACACTGTTGTTGTTGGCATATGTAATGATGATATTCAGTTGCAAGTGTTCAGAATCAAACCCTTGACTGTAGACAAAGAAGTATCAAATGAAATTGGAGACTCCATTGAAAAAGCCATAGAAAAATTGACAGAAACATTTATTGACACAAAAATATTCCACAGAGGATACAAATGTCAAAACATTATTTGTAATGAGAAAGATCTATCTTTCACCCTTGCAAGTGAGCTCTCCAAAATCAAGGCTGATAAAGAAATTCAGTGCAAGTGTCGACTTCGAGAGAAACACATAATAAATGTGCAGATCACTCTGGGATTCTGGGAAAAGGTAACAATTACTAATTTTTATACTCCCTGGCAAACAAAAATTGAAGGGGTATATAGGAATTATGCTGTCCCCCTGTCTGTTGGTCTATCTGTACATTTACAGTCTTTAACGTAGAGAAATAAAAAACTGGAAGATCACACTGGCACAGAATTTTTTTTATGACCTGAGGAACCATAATGACTTTTGACCAAATTAAAGATCAATGAACAAAATAATGATTTAACTGAGAGACATTAGAAGTTTATACTTTACACAAAGATTGCTAACATATTAAAGATCAATGAACAAAATAATGATTTAATTGAGAGACATTAGAAGTTTATACTTTACACAAAGATTGCTAGCATATTAAAGATCAATGAACAAAATAATAATTTAATTGAGAGACATTAGAAGTTTATACTTTACACAAAGATTGCTAACATATTAAAGATCAATGAACAAAATAATGATTTAATTGAGAGACATTAGAAGTTTATGCTTTACACAAAGATTGCTAACATATTAAAGATCAATGAACAAAATAATGATTTAATTGAGAGACATTAGAAGTTTATACTGTACACAAAGATTGCTAACATATTAAAGATCAATGAACAAAATAATGATTGAATTGAGAGACATTAGAAGTTTATACTTTACACAAAGATTGCTAACATATTAAAGATCAATGAACAAAATAATGATTTAATTGAGAGACATTAGAAGTTTATACTGTACACAAAGATTGCTAACATATTAAAGATCAATGAACAAAATAATGATTTAATTGAGAGACATTAGAAGTTTATACTTTACACAAAGATTACTAACATATTAAAGATCAATGAACAAAATAATGATTTAATTGAGAGACATTAGAAGTTTATACTTTACACAAAGATTGCTAACATGTGTGCCTTGATCTTAAGGCAGGGTCATTTGGTCAAGGTTAAGATCATTTTCAGAAAAAAAAATGTTTAATTATAATTACTTGAAATGAAGAACAATTAGAGGTTGACTTTTGACTCAAAGGTTGCTTATGACCTGAGAGTGTGTCATGATATGGAGATGTTTTAGGTCAGTAACATAAAAAGGTAAAATTCATGGCAGTAACTTTTAAATGGAGAAATATAGTACTTCATACTAAGATTGCTTATAATATCAGGATACATAATCGATTTTGATTAAGCCCCCAAGTCTCTTAACAAACCATATTTTAGGTAACAAGTCTCTCAAACCTATTGCTATTTGCCTTTGTACATCACTAAGCATTATCTGTGAACTTTCGAACATTTTCAGCCTCTTTTCAAGAACTGGTGAACCAGTTTTGGTAGATTAAATGTATGGATAGAACGGAACAAAAATTGTGAAATCCAGAGGGTGGATCCAAATCGATAAAATTAATTCAGTTTTCAAAAATTGTGTGTTCTTTTGTACAACTTAGTCATGTTAATAGGAAAACTGTTAGCGTGATTATAATATGTAGTGAAATTTTTACTAAGGTTGTTACATTCATTGCATATTTGTTCAAATAAATATCTTCTTTACTGATGTACACCCGGTAGACGAACTGCTTACATGAATCAAATGAATTTTCAATTTTTTACCAAAATTGTGCAATAAACAGTCCGTTGTCTCATGGTTCAGGTCCCAGGGTTCTACAGAATCTAAGTATAACATGTTTCTTTCCAAATAAATCTTTCATTTCACTTTAATCCTAATGTTCCAAATTAATCATGTTAATGTGATGGTCACTAACTCAGTAATATCTAATGGTAAATTAAAATCTTTTTCATCTTGATTTTCCTTACAACAGGGCCCTTTGAGATGGTCACCATGTAATTTTAAATACTTTTACAAACTCTACTAACTCTAGGTTTAGCTTTGCTAAATACATCTGGAATAATCTTTATACATTTTAATCATCAAATGAACTAGGATTGATTCTGTTTCAAACAAAGTTGGCTATTTCCAGCATTTAGTTTTTAGTTTAAGATGGTTCATCACTATTACTATGGTTTATTTTCTTTCAGAGAGAGGCGAGTGATTCCAGTACTCCTGTGGCCTCTGGACAAAACCTAGGAGGCCGATCTCGATTTGCGAAACTTGGAATGGCTACAAACGATGTCTTAAATAAGGCATACAGAGATATTCTAGAATCAGAAATTCCCCCATCTGATATTGAGAACAAGGTGAATTTATTATCAAACAAAAAGAGGATGAATCTGAAGCTGAACCCAGATCAAGAAGATCTTTTGAAAAAAGCAAAAAATTCTGGATACAAGGAATTTGATATTTCATTAACATACAAGTTGATAAGAAACATTTGTTCAACGATCCCTAAACCAACAAAAGGAAAGTGGGGAGAAGAGCCTGCAGCAGGAGAGGTGACAGTAGGTGATGATGTTGAGAGAATTAGGTCCATCCGAAACAGTTTGACTGCACATGTGAGTTCAGCCTCAACCCTTCAGACAGAATTTAATAACACTTGGTCGACGATGTCGGATATCTGCCAAAGACTGGAAACCTTCACCAGAAAAAAGTACTTGGATAGCCTTAAAGACATTCATAAACTGAGTTTAAAAGAAGAAGGTGAAGATGCAATTAAAGCTATTATAGAAAAGTTTATCAAGGATCAACATGAACAACATGAACTGTTAAAGACAGTCGTGTCAGAAGTTCAAGAATTAAAGTCTCAAATGAGTACATTAAAACAAAATTGAAGACTGGAGGCAATCGTTCAGAAATAATATAATTTTACTCATAGAACGTTTGCAGGACTAGTAAATAATTAATTCTATAACACATGGTTGAAGATATCGGAAATCGGCAAAGCACTCGAAAGTTTCATTGGTGAAAAGTCTTTTGATAAGCTTAATTATATTCATGAACTGGATATGAGGAATTTGATATTTCATTAACATACAAGTTGATAAGAAGCATTTGTTCAAAGATCCCTAAACCAACAAAAGGAAAATTGGGAGGAGAGCCTGCAGCAGGAGAGGTGACAGTGGGTGATGATGTCGAGAGAATTAGGTTAGTACGAAATAGATTGACTGCGCACGTGAATTCAGCCTCGACTCCTCAGACAGAATTCGATGACACCTGGTCAACAATGTCGGATATCTGCCAGAGATTGAATATGTTCACTGGAAAGAAGTATTTGGATAAACTTAATATTAAAAATCTGACATTGAGAAAGGAAGATAAGGATGCTATTATAAAAAAATGTTGTTAAATTGGAAGAAATTCTGGAGACAATCAAATCAAGTTTTAAATAATTACAAGTAGAAACAATGATCGGACCTAACGAAGATGTTACAAATTGAGAGTTCATAGAATGCTGTGTAAGGACCAAAATACTATCATGGAATCTTATTTTATCACTATAATATTAGAGAGTGCCCTATATAAAGACTATTGGTGGGTAAATTTTGGACAGTACCTCCTTAGTTTCCATAGCAATGACTTTGAAATATTTTGTTATGGTAAAACTGACCTGATTGTCATCACCATTTAGAATAATTCCGTGCTTCCTTAATGTAGGAAAGTTATGAACATAACATGGGTTTAATTTTATATTTAAGTAATCAAAGTTTCTGTGTATCTAAATTTTATTCAATTTAACCCAATGTTTTTAATATGATACAGATCAATTTACATGAATTTGTCATAAAAATGAATGCAAAGGTGCCTATTTCTTGATATGCATATAATTTTTGCAGGCAATTGAAACTTAGAAAAAAGATCTTTTTAATAAGATCGAGCTTTGATCTTGTTACAGCAAATTTAACATTATACAAAACATTTTTTCCGGATTTGGTTTGAATGTTAGATTTTTCCGGATTTGGTTCCAATATTGCAATTTTCTCGGGTGCACGAGCTTTTTACAACTTTAGAAATTGTTTACCAGTGTTTACTAGTTACTGTGCTGATTATCATGTTTGTCTTCACTTTTCCCATGAGAGAAAACTTCTAAGTTGGTAAGTTAGACATGAAATCTATTTGTATATCGTTTCATAAGAAATTTTTATGTGCATAATTGTTATCAATTATATGTTTACAAAGGTGTTATGGTGTAATTTTTAGTGACATGTTAGAAAGTTCACATGAAAGATTTATGATTTGATGACTATGTGTAGAAAATTTATGTCATAATAGGTTGATATTTATAATGTGATATTGAAAGTTAAAGATTTGCTGTGATTTTGCGTGAAATTATTTGGTGCATGTGCACTCTACAATAATCATATATTTTGTTTGAGCATTTTCTAGTAACTGTAATTCATTTGAAACTGTGTGGTTTGATAGTAATATGAATTTCATATGTGCAAATTTACAAGGGTACATGTGCAATATTTATTGTAAAAATGTTGTTTACAAAGAACATAGAGTATTTTTTTAATAATCAGAGTGATGTTAATTTGTCAATCGCAGAGTGTGTGGTGTGTGTGGTTTATGTGTAATATCAAATACTTACATATCTGTTTTCTATGTATTTACAGTAAATCACATCACATCACATCACATCATATTGCTGTCACTGGAAGTAAACAATAAAGGATGTGCATTTACAAGGGAGTTAACTTCTCTGTGAAATTAATGATAGTCAGTACAGATCTAAAAGATGCAAAAAGATTTGAGGTGGGGAAATCAGTTAGAAGTCATAATCCAATCCCCTCAAATTATAACTTTTCCTAAGAATTAAGCTACAGTTATTTCCCTTTGTTGATTCTTTTGCACTGAAGACAAAAAAGTTAAACTGGTGTTATTTCCCTTTGTTGACTCTCCTGTATTGAAGTCTAAAGAAGTTTATAACAACATATGGCAAAAACAGACGCCAGAAAAATAAACATGAATCTATAACAGAATTTTTTTTTTTTTTTTAAATTTTAAAATAAAATTCAGGTGTGAATGACAAAGTAAGTCATCAATTGATTAATGAAAATGAAGGAGACACTGCTTTGTCAGCATTCAACTTGATAATGATGTACGGACCTTTATTAGATTTTTTAAGTCAAGTTCATCTTGCGAAATTCTGAAACAAATTTATGAAGTCTGACTTGCACTCCAAACACGTGGGATTCCATGCACTCTAAAACCCATGAGAAAAATGCAATATGCAATTGGAGGAAAACAACAAGCACAAAATACGACAGTTAGTGGGAATGGTTAGATTAACCCTAGGCACAGGTATAAATTTTAATGTTTTCAAATATTTATTTTGTATAAAAAGTACATGTAAGAAGCTTTTTCAAATAAACTGACATATTGTTTAAATTAAATACTGTAAGTCGTTTTAATTCAACGGTCTTAAAATTTCATGATTTCTCGAAAAGTACCAATCGCGATGGTTTTAATTTCACGCTGCGAGAAATTAATTAAAATTTCTTCTAAGGATTTGAACGTTTTTAAAAACTAATGATAGCATTCACGATGGATTTAATTTCGCGGAAAAAAAAAGAATCGCGAACATAGTGATATTAAAACCTTCGTGATTATTTGCTAATCTACAGTATTCTTTTTTTTTTTTTTAAGTAAAATAGAGTATACTTAATTAGTCTATATCCAAAGATCACCATGTAAGCAGGACGTTCCAGATATTTATCTTATTAATATATTTGTATTATAAGAATTTGTGCTTGCCTCAGAAAGCAACTTACTTTGGCAAATCATAACTACAAAGTTTATCAAAAGCAGGATAATTTTATAGAAGATGTAAGTTTGTATGTTATGAAAAATATACACAAGCCATTATTTATATATATATATATATATATATATATATATATATATATATATATATATATATATATATATATATATATATATATATATATATATATATGGTAGCGTTGTACAGTTTAAAATCTGATTTGGCCTAAAAAGGACAAGTTATGGTAACGGCCGAATCCGGCCCGTTATTTGATGTAAAAATCAGAACACGATTAAAATTGTGATAGTTTGTAGTTGGGAACTTAAAATGATGCATATCTTAAAATCAGCACAAGTTTTGACTCAAAGCTTAAACGGAGGCCATAAGAGAGTGCAGAAGTAGGACATTTTCCCGAATTTACTCGATTCTGGTGGAATTTCGTCAAATTTGAGATACTTTTCACTTCGGGAAAAGCAGATCACAAGCTTTCCGATCTGAGATTTTTATATATAAGATGCATTTGATACTAGTGTTTGAAATATACAATTTGGCAGAGAAAGAAGCTTGTGCTCTGTTTTCTGAAACAAAATGTGTTGTAAAATTGATGAAAATTTGCATAAAACTGAGAAAATTCGGATATTGGCATATTTTCTGACATTCCTGTCAACTCTGTGTATTTCATTACTTAGAACCAATACTCATTTTGTGGCAGGGGAGACAACAGGTTTTTATTGATTAACTGTTACAACATTCTAAGAGACACCCCAAACCAGGGGCCAAAAGGCGTCTCACGCTATCTTTTCCTTAGTAGGGGTGCTGGGTAAAAATTAAAGATTGTCGACTTAACGGAAACACATAAAAAAAATTTAAGCCTAAAAAGAATTCATATAATTCAGATTCACTGTAAAATAACAAAACATATCTAATTGCAGCTATAAATACACACTAATAAGATATAAATATAATATACTCGTGTAAATGTATGTATTCATGATTGACAATTAATAAGAATGAATTTCTTTAATTTGAAAAAAAAAAAAATTTAAACATATTTTAGATGTACTGGTGCTTTGAAAAGTAAAAAAGAAGATGAAAAGATACATAGAGAAAATAATTTTCAGTAAAAAGTAGGTGATTTTTTTTGAAATATAAAAATTGTCTGGATATGGGAATGAATAGCATTTTTCATTTTTAATGCCAACTACCGCAATGAATCAATCAAAAAGAAATCTTTCATAAAAGTCATAATTTTGACAAATTCTGGGGATTTAGTAATTATGGAAAGAAATACAAATTGGAGTAGGTGATGGTAAATTGTTTCAGTTACTTTTATCTTGCAATTGGCTACACTGAAAATACTGTATATGTACATACGCGGGTATGTTAAGGCAACACCTAGAGATATCCTACTTGCCTCTACAATATGACGTCATAGTAAGCTGTATGACGTGAAGTTCAGAAATAATGATTCCTTAATATTTATATTTAAAGTTTAATTTCAGGTCCAAGAAATAAATGGAATCATTCAAACACATAATATAAACCAAATCTTGTCGTTTTTGGGTGGTATAAATAGCTAAGTATTTATCACAGGGGTTAAAAACCAAACCCATGACGTCATAACTATTGATCAAATATTTGCCGAGTGAAAATTAAACGTGACGAGAATTCATGTAAACAAATACATAAAATGGGAGTTTTAAAGCAGATACCGTGAATGTTATGTGTGATTCATAAGGAATTAAAGATGTAGAATCAGGTATGCTGATATATTCTTATCATGTTCTCTTATAATGAACATAGGCAGTGCTTTGAAATCCCGATCAGCCTTTCCTCTGTCGTTCTATAACAACAAAGATGCAAAAGTTCAACACTAAGCCGCATATTTTGAGACATAATTTTTAGCTCAGCTCGACGAAGTCGAGATGAGCTTATGCTATACCCCCGGCGTTGGCGTCGGCGTTAGCGTTGGCGTCCCGGTTAAAGTTTTAGGAGCAGGTCCATTACTAAGTAACTATAAGGCCTTCCTGGACCAAACTTTCATGGATGATGCATCTAGGGATGGACACTACTGTACTTGCTCCGGATGCTTGATCTGACCTAGATTTTCCAGTTGAGTGACCAGGTTAATGTTTTAAGGGCAGGTCCATTACAAAGTAACCTTAAGCCCTACCTGGACCAAACTTGCATGGATGATGCATCTAGGGATGGACACTACCGTACTTGCTCCGGATGCTTGATCTGACCTACATTTTCCAGATAAGTGACCAGGTTAAAGTTTTTGGAGCAGGTCCATTACCAAGTAACCATAAGCCCTACCTGGACCAAACTTGCGTGGATGATGCATCTAGGGATGGACACTACCGTACTTGCTCCGGATACTGGATGTGACCTACATTTTCCAGTTGAGTGACCAGGTTAAAAGTTTTAGGAGCAGGTCCATTACCAAGTAACCTTAAGCCCTATCTGGACCAAACTTGCATGGCTGTCCGGATGCTAGATCTGACCTACATTTTCCAGTCGAGTGACCAGGTTATAGTTTTAGGAGCAGGTCCATTACCAAGTAACCATAAGCACTACCTGGACCAACCTTGCATGGATGATGCATCTAGGGATGGACACAACCAGATTAGGTCCGAATGCTGGATGTGATCTAGATTTTCCAGATGAGTGACCAGGTTAAAGTTTTTGGAGCAGGTCCATTACCAAGTAACTGTAAGCCCTACCTGGACCAAACTTGAATGGATGATGCATCTAGGGATGGACACTACCGTACTTGCTCCAGATGCTGGATCTGACCTACATTTTCCAGTTGAGTGACCAGGTTAAAGATTTTGGAGCAGGTCCATTACAAAGTAACCTTAAGCCCTACCTGGACCAAACTTGCATGGCTGTCCGGATGCTAGATCTGACCTACATTTTCCAGTTGAGTGACCAGGTTTAAGTTTTAGGAGCAGGCCCATTACCAAGTAACCATAAGCACTACCTGGACCAAACTTGCATGGATGATGCATCTAGGGATGGACACAACCAGATTTAGTCCGGATGCTGGATCTGACCTAGATTTTCCAGTTGAGTGACCAGTTAAAGTTTTTGGAGCAGGTCCATTACAAAGTAACCTTAAGCCCTACCTGGACCAAACTTGCATGGATGATGCATCTAGGGATGGACACAACCAGATTAGGTTTGGATGCTGGATTTGACCTACATTTTCCAGATGAGTGATCAGGTTAAAGTTTTTGGAGCAGGTCCATTACCAAATAACTATAAGGCCTACTTGGACCAAACTTGCATGGATGATGCATCTAGGGTGGACACTACTGTACTTGCTCCGCATGGTGGATCTGACCTAGATTTTCCAGTTGAGTGACCAGGTTAAAGTTTTTGGAGCAGGTCCATTACAAAGTAACCTTAAGCCCTACCTGGACCAAACTTGCATGGATGATGCATCTAGGGATGGATATTACCGTACTTGCTCCGGATGCTAGATCTGACCTACATTTTTCAGATGAGTGACCAAGTTAAAATTTTTGTAGCAGGTCAGTTGCCAAGTAACTATAAGTTACCTGGACCAAACTTACATGAATGATGCATCTAGGGATGGACACAACCAGATTTGGTCCAGATGCTTGATCTGACCTACATTTTCCAGATGAGTGACCAGGTTTTGGAGCAGGCCAATAACCAATTAACTATTATTCCATATGGTGATCTGGATCCATCTCCAGAGAGAATTTCAAATCTCTGCATGCTGTAGTTTAGAATTTGAAACTTTTCATCAGGATCCCTTGAACAAAGTTTTGATTCAACAAAAGTCATGATGTCAGATTGGTAAAGGGCAACATCCTGAAGAACATCTGCATGATGCTTGTGAAAAGATCTCACATTTTGATAATAAATTTTAATGTTAACTTTTTCCTTTTGAGTCAGTGGAATGCTTGCAAATTCTAGTTTCATGCTGCTTTCCAATCTCTTCATTTCTTGTTCCACAGAATGATCAATATGAATTTTATTTTCGTTCAGTTCTCTTATATATAGATTATTTATACTCTTGACTCTACATAATGGCAGTGTTGAAAACATTCCATTAAAATCAACCACAACTGATTCCATGGTATCTCCTTGACATCTGTGACAAGTTTTAGCTGCAGCTGGACGGAGTGGAAACTGCTCCCTGATGACTTGTACAGATTTGTACCTTCCAACCATAAATGCTCTTTTGACTTTTGTTACAGGTGTCCATTTTTTATGAATTTTTGATGTATAAAATTTTCTTTCATTTTTTTTTTACAGCTTTTTCCTATAACGTCATTGTCAAGTAATACCCACAGGATATCAGATTGCGTTGAATTGATAGAAAAGTTTGTGACGTCCTTAAGAAAATCAGAGGCATCATTTGCTAACCATTTGCTAAACCATTTGCTAACCCATCATCAACATCAATGTTTACAGAGATTTCGCATCTCATATTTTTGCATAAATTTAAGGTTTTCTCTAGCCCCATTGTCTTACTTGTGTCTTCTGGTATACTTTTCTTTACTTTTTCTTTGATATCCTTGTCAACATCTCCTATGATATAGTCTTTAGCTTGAAGAGTAAATTTTTCTTGATGTGAAAGAGCAAATATTCTTGAATTGAAGCTTCTAACATCTTTATTTTGTAGGAAAATGTGTGGAACTAACAGTGGATAATCTTGTTGAGTTTCATCTTTGTTGAGTTTTCTTTCTTTTAAGACAGCAATGTCCTTTTCTGTGTATTTGCATTCACGAATGCGATTTAGAACAGAAGCAAATTCCTCTGATTCGCTCTGACGCATTTTTTGATTTAACTGAGAAACCTTGAAGTTTTCTGTCCACAGGTTGGTTGCTAGTGGTCCATAATCTTCCTTGAGATTCTCAAATATCCAGCTATCAAATACTGGTTTTAGTTGGAATAAATCCCCCACAGCCAAAACAGAAATACCGCCGAATATCTTTGATGATACTGTTATTTCTTGTAAACGCAAATGAATATATTGAAACATTCTGTTTCCAACCATTGAAATTTCATCAATACTGATCATTTTTAACTTTTGGAATTTACATCTTAAAGTGTTCAGACGGTCACTTTTCAGTGGTTTATAAAAGAATCCCTGGTTTGCTGGTATTTGGAACAGATTATGGATGGTGTTGCCATTAATAAGAAAAGCTGCTTTTCCAGTTGGGGCTGCTAACAGAACCTTTGGCTCATCAGGATTACTTCCAGGTTGGTTATTAAAGTGACGGTTAAGAGCCTGGTAAATGGACTTAACAACTACCGTTTTGCCAACTCCAGCCCCACCCGATAGGAAAAAATCTACTGGTTTATTTTCACTTTTCATGTGATGAAGAATTTCCATGAAAAAAGGTACTGTTCTTTGTTTAATGATTGAACCAATGGAAAATATTCATCATCTTTCATATATTTTGATACTATTTCCTGCAGGTCATTTACAGTATTTTCTGGAAATGTAACATTTAAAGAATCATCATAGGAAGGGTATTCTAAAATTTCTCTTGTACCTTCATTGATGTCTTCCTTGTCATAAGCTTCTGAGCACGGAGCAACAATGTTCCACTAATCTTCCAGTATATCTTCACTGACTTTTTTGATGTCCTCCATTGCCTGATCCAATTCTCTCCATGTATGATTATATTCTTGCATTTTTTCTAAGATATCTGAACTATCAAGAAGGTCAACAAATCTCTGATAGAATGTTTCTCTTTGTCCGAGAATTCTTTTCTCTGACCTCCATGGATGATACAAAAACAAGCATTCACGGTAAAAGTTTTCTGGATCATTCTTTTCATTGTATCCCACACACCTTATCACAGCTTGTTGTCGTCTCTTTGTCACAGATGTACATTTGACCCTTTTTGTTTTAGCTTGACTACATTTTTCAGTTTGATCCATATCATTTTCTTCTCTCTCACTATCACTTAAATCTCGAAGTTGGTTTTTAGTTTTTGATTGAACTGTCGATGTCCTATAAAGGGATACATAATCAGCCAAACAAATGTTTTCCATTTCCTTTGGTCTATCCTCGTATCTGGTAATGTTGTTGGTTTCTTCAATGTCAGATGACTCATCTGGTAGGCTTTGAATTTGTTCTGTACTTTTTAACATAATAATTCTTTCATTTTCTGGAGATGTATTGATGAAGATTACTTCTCGTGATGATTTTCATAAGGGCATTTGAAGAATATAGTAAACAGCCTCCTGAGCAGAAACTTCCACATGGCTTAAGAATTTGTTACCAATCATTTTTACTTGCTGTCTGATGTCCAGGTTTCCCTCTCTTGCCTCTTTACAAGCATTATACATTAAGGTGCTCATTCCTCTTTGTGCTTTTGAAATATAACTGACAATATACATAATGCACGGATATGCATCGAGAATGAACTGAATGTCCATGTTAGCTCTCCAGGCTTTCAGAGGAATAGGATTATAATTATTTATTCTTATTTCATCCAACTTTCTTTTCAAAAAGATTGTTGTAGTTTTAATAGATGATCTAATTGCGTTGATATATTGGTCATTAGAAAGTCTCAATTCATTAAGGAATTCATGAAGTGTTAAATCTTGTCCTTTTTTTCATATTGTCTAAGCATTTCTTTATGTTTTCCCAGTTCTTTTTGTGTTGTTCTTTGTCTTTTTCAGGTAAGCTATCATCTAATGGATTCAGGATGCATGTTTCTTTCATAGGAGGTTGAGGAAAATTAAATCTGCAGTCATTTTTGTTTCTTTTCTTACATGTTCTGCCATGAGCGTGGTATTGGTATTGCACTAATTCTTCTATTTCACTATTCTTTGCACAAGAGACATGTGAATTGATAAAATTTACAATATCACTTTCTTCACCTTCCCCATATTTTGGAGCACTTTCTATCCAAAGCACCATGTGAATGTGTGGGGAACCTCGCATTTGAAATTCAACTTTATAAAAATAATCTGTCATTTTTCCAACAGGGCAGATTGAAGACTTCAGTACTTGGTTAATGAAATTTTGAACCTGATGATCAAAATGCCTGGCACAAGTTACTGGGTCTTTTCTAAGCAGTTCTGCCTTTTTAAGGAAGCTGAATGATTTTACATCATCCTCAGAATATGTTTTTTTCTCAACTGTCCATCCTAATATTTGTAATAAATGTGTCCAGTGAGTTTCCGCTGCAGAGAATGATGTAAACCAAGTTGGAATGCCAAGTTGCCTGATGAGTGCAAAAATGTCTTTTTTTGCTTTCTCACAGTATGGAGGAGAACCTCTAAGATCACGAAATATTCGAAATCCTTCATCTAGTCTGCAGAGTTTATCAAGGTTTTCAGGATGTTTCAAGTATCCTGCAGAGATATTTTCAGTTTTCTTTGTTTTTCTAAGGCAGATGTTTGCTTTGTCTAATACAGTTTTAACTTGGAGCTTTTTAAATTTGAAAAATATGTTTTGAATATGTCTAGCAACCCTTCTATCCATATTTCGTAGCTCTGATTTACATATGTCACTGCATGTAACCTTTACTTCCCCCTGGCTGTTTTCCGGTCTGGCATGTCCACAAAATATGGCAGGAAAACTCATCTCTTCGGCATTTTTATCGAAGAAAATATTTAAAGGAGTATTGCCTTCACCTGGGGCAAATGAAATAACTTCTGCTCTCTCAGTTTCAAGATCCTGAGGTTGAAGAAGGGTGTCAAGAGTACCACAAGGTAAATCCTCTTCTGCTACCTCATTCCAGTCATCTTCTTTGTGTTCTTCTTTCTCATTGCAATCTGATTCCAGTTCTTTACACTCCCAAGAGTGGTCCAATGTGATTCCCGCTTCCTTATAAAAATTACTGTTGGACATTAACCATTCTACTGCTCTGATGACTTTTTCAGGTCTTACTGTTTGATAGTGAACATGATGCTTATAAGTTTTCTTTTAAGTTTCATGGGTATTGTAAAATTCTCGTCAAGTACTCGTGGTAATTTTGCTACTGTTTGATTCAAATTTGAAGGAACGTTGACAACATTGTCATGAAGACTTATTTGTTTTCCTCGTGGGAGCTCATGGAGCTGCATGAATGGGATCCTCAGGGATACTAGCTTTTCTTCGACTTCTGTCAAATCTAGCTCATTTGGTTTATCTGTAAAGCACATCCCATTATATTTGGAGCATGGTGGTAGTTTGTCATCAGCAACATATTTGCAACATGTCTGGCATATCCATTCTTTTCCATCAAAACTTTTGAAAGAATTCAGTATTTTAAATTTTAAATTTTCAGATACTTGCAAACTTGCAACTAGTCTTACACTATCTCTATACCACATTTGGAAACAACATGCACAGATGTATGTTGGACCTTCCTTCACTGCATTATGAAAATTAGTAATCAAATTCTCCACAGTGCCCTCTTTCTTATGTTTTTAGCACACTTTTCCTTGATTCTGAAATCCAAATCTTTTCTTTTGTTTCTTCTTTGTAATTTTTCGTTTTCACGATTTGCTAGTGACAAACGTTTCCTTTCATTTTCTTTTTCCTTCAGCTCACCATGCATTCTTAAATGTTTTTTTTTTTAATGTTTTCGTTCTCTCTGTCTGTTTGTGATAGAGGAGCGTTTTGCCGCATTCTCCTTTTCTCTTTTTTTAGTATTAAGATTTGTTTGTTGATTATGTTTACATTCTTTCTGTCTGTTTGTGATAGAGGAGCGTTTTGCCGCATTTTCCTTTTCTCTTTTTTCAGTATTAAGTCTTAAATGTTTTTTATGATTTTGTTCTCTCTGTCTGTTCGTGATAGAGGAGCGTTTTGCCGCATTCTGCTTTTCTCTTTATTCACTTTTCCTGCGTATTATTTGCATATGTAAACATGCATTCTTCTTTATTGTTTTGAGTTGCGCTTTGCCATGTTTTCTTTAATTCGCTGTTCATTGTTTTCCCTCTTTTGTTGTTTATGGAGTTTTTCCTTCAGTCTGTTTATCAAAGATGATTTTTTTCGCTTGTTTTCCCTTTCTCTATACCCGGGATTCATTCTTTGATTTCTTTTCCTTTCTTTTTCTTTTTTTCTGATACTCTGCATTTTGGAATTACTATTTTCAGAATCAATTCTTCTTTGTTGTAATTTTTGGAACTTGAAATAGTCAAATAAAAGTTTTTCATCTTTTGTCTTTTCACAATTTTGGTGATCTGTTCCTTGTTGATTGTTTAGTTCTGAAGTCATGCTTAAAACTACATCATAATGATTTAGATTTTTGTGATAAAGATATATGTTTCCATCATGGGGTTGAAATTCTGGTTCTATAAATTGTCCTGAGAATTTTAGCCATGCCCACCTTTGTCCACTTTTGGTATATGTGTATATGTCAGTCTGAAGAAGATGTGCCATAGCAAAAATTTCAACTTGAGAAGCCCATGTTTTGTTTTTATCCATTTTGGTCTTTCTTATATATTCATTTACAGATATATTTCCTATCAGTGATTCTAATTTTGTTTCAATATTTCTCATGTGGTTACATACATATTGTCTCATATAGAGATGATGGCCTTCAGTTCCTGATATTGAATACGATACTGCCCGAAAAAAGCAGTTTCCATCTGGAATTGTAGAGTATGTTTGACCAGGCTTAACCAGCTGTTGCTCATTGGTTGACTGAAAGAAGGGTGCATTATTTGGTTGTCAATGGAAAAAATTGAACACAGGTGACGTTGCCAGTCAAGAGATATTGGTTTAAAAATCAGAAACTATTACAAACTGTACTTACTTTAGGTTTAGCTTTGCTAGATACATGTGAAATAATTTTTCTAGATTTTGATCTTTGTTATTATGTTTTGGCTAAGTTGGCTACATCAGATTAACTAAGACTGATTTTGTTTCAGACAAAGTTGGCTGTTTCCAGCACTAAGTTTTTAATTTATGATGTGTTCATCACTATTACTATGTTTTTTTTTTGTTTTAAATAAGGCATACAGAGATATTTTAGAATCAGAAATCCCCCCTTCTGATATTGAGAACAAGGTGAATTCATTATCAAACAAAAAATCCGAAGCTGAACTCAGATCAAGAAGATCTTTTGAAAAAAGCAAAAAATTCTGGATATGAGGAATTTGATATTTCATTAACATATAAGTTGATAAGAAACATTTGTTCAAAGATCCCTAAACCAACAAAAGGAAAATGGGGAGAAAAGCCTGCAACAGGAGAGGTGACAGTAGGTGATGATATTGAGAGACTTAGGTTAATACGGAATAAATTGACTGCACACGTGAATTCAGCCTCCACCCCTCAGACAGAATTTGATGATACCTAGTCGACGATGTCAAATATCTGCCAAAAGATTGGAAACCTTCACTGGAAAGAAGTACTTGGATAAACTTAATGAGATTAAAAATCTA